TTCAGGCAGGGGCACTGGATGGCCGCAAAATGACCAAAAGGAGCATGATGAGAAAAATAAATAAACAAAAAAAAACATTGTAGAATCTATGGTACACTATTAAGAAGTGCAAACCTGCAAATGTTATCATAGGGAGCTATTTCCACCTGATCTATCCCTTAAATTTCATTGTATCACTGTAAACTAATATAGATTGATTAGGTTTATATTTTTGGGTTGAATAAAATCAAATAAATTAGATGTTACCACATGAAAAATTGTATTACAATTTAGTTATACAGTCGAATCCTCTTATTATAACATACAGAGTGTATACACAATGTAAATAATAGATTGACTGAGCAGTGTAGAGAGATTCATTGGTCATAACACAACTTTGTGAGATCGCAATGAACAAAGAGTGACAGCTTTTTAGTGATTATAAAGGGAGCGCTCTTTGAGAGCTTTCCAGGCTATAATCCATTCAAAATGCAAAACTTTTGTTTTTCGGCCACACACACGTTGCAAAGTTTCGGGAATGACATCTGCATATTTATGCGGGATTCACTCTTGACATAGCAGTGATTGACATAATGATAACTATAGCAATGGATGGGACAAAATATGTGAAAATGTGCATTAAGACTAGAGCAACCTCACTAATTTCAGAAGCACCCTCAGTGATTTATTTCTGGAACCGGACCTGGTTGATATGCTTTTATTGTACAACTATATACAAAAACAGCAAAATACAAATGCACTAAATAAAATAATCTAATAAATGCATATTTACAATAAGCACTTAACTCAAATAAGTATTCAATAATAAGATAAATAACTAGAGAAGGCTGACTATAATCAGCTTGCTTCCATTTAGTGGGATATGCCTAGAGGTGGGTATATGACCAAAATCTAATTTCACGGAATGAGAAATTTAACCTCGATATAGCTATTTTTATTTTATTTTTGTTATTAAAATTAAGAAAAAGATGCAAATTACAAGCACAACAGAACAAATAAATTGTTTTTTTTTTTCATTTGTTAACATTTGAATGAAACTTTTAATTTATTCAGCTACAGTAGGCTATGTTTATTTAACATGTAGTAAGAAATATTACAGAAATTGTAATTTTTTTTACAGAAAGTGTATAAATAAAGCACAGCATAGTCTTCACTGTATCAATCAAACATGATTAACATTAAAGGGATAGTTCACCCAAAAATGAAAATTCTGTCATCATTTACTCACCCTCATGTCGTTCTAAACCCGTATGAGTTGCTTTCTTATGTTGAACACAAAAGAAGATATTTTGAAGATTGCTGGTAATCAAACAGTTGGTGGTTGCCATTGACGATGACAGAATTTTCATTTTTGGGTGAACTATCCCTTTAATAATGACAGATAGCAATAGGTAAATAAGGCTGCTGTCCCTTGAAGACCAACTGCACGGATCCAATATACTGAAACACATCCGGTTTTCACCCTACTGTTTCACATAAGGGATAATGTATATCTAGCCGGTTGTTATCGCAGAATAACCCCCGACAGGGTATCACCCTGAAGGGGGTTATTCAGCGATAACAACCAGCTGGATGTACATTATCCTGCTTATTACACGGCTACTTGCCACATAAGTAAATAGACATGAAATACTGATTTGAGTTGAAATATTTGAACGCAAAGCTTCCGTGTACACAGCAGTTGCGAGCAAGCGGCAAGTTCAAACTAGATGGACATTTAAAGGATATGGTGCAGTTACACAACAATTCACCACATAAATAATTATGGCGATAAAAGATTTAAGACGAAAATGTTTTAAAATCTTACCAGTTTGTTAGTTATCTTATAATCCATTACAGCATACAAAACAATCGTAGCAAAATGGCAGCTACATTAAACAATATAAAAAATTTTATACCAAAAATAAAAAATTAAAAAAATTTCAAAAAGAAACAATGCAAATGGTGTTTTAAAGTGTATTTTAATAAAAGAGGAATCAAGACCACAGACAGAATTAGTCACTTCTTAATAATTCAACTTAATGACTTAATGAAAAAAATTGTTAACACTGTTTTGATGATGACTTTCAATTTTTTTCTCTCATCTTAGCAACTTTCTAACTTTCCATTTTAAATTGATTATGAATGAATGAATGAATGAATGAATGGAGACGGAGCGACATACACACAGACTGCCTACAAAAACCCCCACTAAATTCTTCTCTTGCAGGAAGAAACACAACAACAAACCACTCATGAACCCAATTTAATAAATAATTTTCTTGCTATTAAAAAATGTTCCAATAATTAAAAAGACAATCACAGAGATGTGCAGTCAATTGGTTGTTTTGACATCCTTCAGTAATGTGGACTCCAATTCAGATAAATCTGCAGTCTTTCTAAACCTGTTGCTTAATTCTTGTTTTTGTCTTTCTCCACCTGTTGTGTTAATCACAAGCAGAATTTAAACACACTAAAGTGATACTGACAGCAAATTGGTTTGAAAGGTTACTGCTGATAATGATTGGTTATTTACATGGAAGAAGGCATATTTCAGCTGCATTTTTGCAAACAACATTCCACAATTAGCAAATCTATTCTGATTGGTCAATTTACATATTAGAAGAGCTGATTCCATGTGTTAATTCTCACTTATGCTAGTGCACATAAAAAGTTGCTAACGTAAAACTTAACTAACTTAAAAAACATCTTTATAAAATATATACATCTGAATTATACAAAAAAGATTAAAGCAACAGTTAATTGTATCGTTTTAGCGTTACATCTATTTAGAATCCAGTTTTGAGCAGGCTAAACCTCCTTTGCTTGCTAAACTTGATTGCTGACTGCAAACGTCTCCCATGGGTCGGCACAAAGAGAGCGGCGGTCAATACGATGAAAGCTTTATTTAATTTTGCATCCTGGCCAACAAATTAGACAGGTGATATGTGTCACACTGTCTAACTTTGATCTCTGACAGCAAACACTATGAGGAAGAGGCAATCCATGCTTTTAACCGCCTTCTGCAGATGTTTTTTTCTTGACAGCTCTTTCTTTTCACAGCCTGCTATTAAAACAGCACATACCTTTCTATCGTGTAACCATGGTAACGCTTGAAAGGCTCCTGCCTAACAATTAAGTTTTTTTCCCTTCTTTCCTTTTTATTTTGTTGAAGAGAGACGTCACTATTTTTAGTATTCGAATATGCATATACATTGGGTCTTTTGTTTGTTTCAAGAGTCACTGTGTGAAACAATTCAACATGGGCAGGGTTGATGATCGCAGTAGGAGCATGTTGAGAATTTAATTACTATGAAATAATTAGAGGACTGTAAGTAAAAACTTAAATATAGCTCCTCTGGCATTTTACCGGGCTATCAACCGTTCTCCTATGAATGTGCAAATGCTCCAAAATATTCTCCAAATATGCATCTAAAAACTGATGAAATGACTGAAATAGGTAAGCTGAACATATATTAAAGAAAATTAGATGAAAAGGGGTAGAAAGAAGCAGCTTGGAAGGAGGAGTCGATCTACTGCACCTGCGATTCACCCCTTACATTCATTCTGCTTTGAATGTGTGGCCGTAATTGACCTTGGCCAATGCAAGAAAGGCCAGTTTACTTCAGACACAGATAATCAACCCATCCCTTTCCGAGAGCAGACAGAGAGACGGGGGATGGGGGAAAGAGAGGGAGAGCAAAGGATTGAAAAGACAGAAGTGAGAGAAAAGAAAGGTTAAGGGAGGCTGGGCTGAACTAGGAATACAAAAAAAATAGACAGGGGGAGACAGAGCACGAGAAAGCGAGTGAGACGTGCAAAAATGTGGCAGGCTGGGCTCCCTCGTGCTGGCCTGCCAAATCATTTCTCACTAACAGAGAAAAATTGGAAATTGTTTAATGTTAACGGTTGAATCAAGTCTATTAATCTTGAGGAGACTGAGCTTCCCTCACAACTCTGCTCATGTTGAAACATCAAAAGCGAGCCACATAATATGAGCTTCACTGAATTTCCTCAACCAAGCAAACAAGAGAAAGGATGCTGTTAAATATGGATGGTACATAAATATGTATTGTATCGGCAGGCTCTGATGAGCCTCTTGGCAACATGTGACATGGGTGTCTTTTCATGAGGAATGATAGGGTAAGGCCGCGAGAGACTTTTTGACGGTTTTGTGCTCATGTAATCCATCTAATGCAGTGCAAACAAAAGGAGGCATATCGGAAAAACTAGCTTGTTCCTGTTAAAATTCGAGATGAGGGTGGAGCTTCAAGCACAGCACTTTGTGTGTTACGGTTCACTCTCTTCGGTGGCAGACATGTGAATTCACACCATTCATTTCTGACTCAATAATATTCATATTTGCATATTATTCTACTTTTGCGAGCTCTTTGGCATGATATCAAGCCTGGGAAAGCGTACAAAATGCTACAATGATACTTCTTGTCAGTCATCCAGTGACTTATAGTGCCGAACATGCTATAGATTACCAATTCAAACACATATTTTTTTAAGTGCTACTATTAATCCTTCTTCTCTGTCATTCATCTCTTTGTTGATTATGGAGTGATTTTTTTTTTATGATGAATAGCTAAGAGCTCATTCCCTTTTGTCCATATCCAATCTTAAAAATGTAAAAGATTGGATGACCAATAATTTTCTCCTATTAAATTCGGATATGACAGAGATATTACTTATTGGACCAAAAGACAGTACACAGAATCTCTTGGATTACAATTTGCAACTAGACGGGTGTACTGTTACTTCCTCTACAGTCAAAAATCTGGGTGTTATATTAGACAGCAACTTGTCTTTTAAAAATCATATTTCCCATGTTA